TATCATGTATTGGTAACTACTACGATGCAGTGAGTTGGTGTAGACGACGATGTGACTTCCACGTAAGACCTTATAGATTAGGCAGTTATATCATGACAAATCTTCAATTTTGGGATTAGGTCTATTATTAGAGCAGTACTAATATCATAATAGACCATAATTCTTCATATGTTCTTCTGGTCAGCCACATGCTAAAATCAGTGGAGGATGAAGGATATCGCGAGGCTTGGTATAATCTGGGCACAACCTCATCAAGAACATGATGATTATGCGAGGCGACCTCGAAAAGACGGATCCTGACTATGCAGACCATAATCTTCTAGAACTGAAATTCATGAAGTGGTCCTTGAAGCCCAGGTACATCGTGACACAAAAAGTGGTGTTACTGTCTGAGAGCGATGGGGATTCTAGACCCAGACTAATAAAGACAGAGTTCCCACCCTATAAAGTGACTGCTGTCACTCTGAAGGCACTCTAAGCTGACAAACTCTGGTCACCAAGTGGAATTTACATGCATCTGGGCGGGTCACATGATGCAATGATTAAGCACACAAGCAAGTGGGAACTGACTATTACACTCGTGGACTGTCTAGAACAAGGAACAAAGTGAGAGGGACAGGGACAGCGTGTTTAGGAAACTCTATGTGGATAGGTTGCCAGTTCACTCACACAAGGTCCATGCAGACAAAGAACGGGGAATATCTAGCGTTTTAAATTGTAGGCACCAACTACTGATACAGAAACCCTGCAAGTTTACCATACAAAATGAATAAATCGCATGAACTATGTGAAGTCAATAATACTCATCTGATGAAACTGTCTAAAGTGAAGGCATCATTTTATATTATTGACAAAGGACTGGCATTATACGGCACGTTTTAGTCACGCGACAACAGAAAAACAGGAGTGGGGGCGGAGCAACCCTGTTGATACCGTCAAGCCTCTGGCAGAACAGTATTCTCATACGTTTTAACCGTCACATACAAACCACATCGACTAGGGCTTCGCCGGCAACTCAACAGGACTCTTGGAGGTGAACTTGAGCGCTGACCTGGTGCATCAGAAACCGTAGCACCCAAGCATTGATACTTCTGGTTCGAATCTGATTCATAGGATTATAGTGAGAGAGGCGGTTTTATTCTTGACAAGGCCGCTTAGTACAAGGATATCACATTCACTAAGCTGAGGAACAGTCCCAGAAGATTGAAAGTCGACGAACACTTAGTCAGTTTTTGAGAGAAGCTGACTGAGCGAACCTTTCGGCTGGTAGCACTTCTATCACTACCATTAGAAATTACGAAGTCTTTGATACACAACTATTTACATGTTATCCATAATCCTCTTTAGACCTCAACAGCATGGGTTAAGGAAGAACCACCTTTGTGCAACCGACCTTCTGACCTCTGTGAACAGGCGGACAACCGTTCTTGATCGAAGGGAGAGAGTTGATGTCATAAACATGTATTTCTTAAAATCTTTCGATAGTGTCAGTCGTATATACCTGATCAGTGGGCCCGAAATGCTGGGTTCCAACTCATTTTTAATTGATAGGTTTACACCATATCCATATAATCAGTTTTATAAGTCTAGGACAAACCTCAATTTTTCTCATACTACACAATGCCTTGTAACAACTTAGGTTTACTGGTAAAGATTTGTCCACAAACATCTCGGTAATGTCATGACATTACAGCTTAAGACTACTGTCACAAACCCATAGTTGTATATTTGGTTGTGATTGGAACTTCTGACAGATACATATGGATTTTTTTCTTGAAAAAAGTAACCTACCGTTTCAATGCATCATCGCGCTCGAGTTGGCTAGACCGTGTCTATTTCCTTCCAGGTTATCAACCCGTTCGGAAAACAAAAACTTATGTGGAACCGAACATTTATCACTTACAATTTTATATTTCCTTATGTATATATCTGTAATATATTTCTGCCAGGGCAAAACATGCCATTTTTAAAAGCATGATCTGATTGCCTGATTGTTTTGTATAAGCAGTGCAGCAATTCCCCAGATTTGACTGACTTTGATTACATGTATTTCCTCGAAGTATATTCTTCTTTATTTTTGACTTGAGGGCGATTCAAGAGGCACGTGAGTAAACGTCTGATAAGCCATCAGGGAAATCGTAACTCACCATCATGGTGTTGGGTGGCCTGCTCGCAATATTTATTAAGATATTTTTGTTTCATTTTCCTACCCTCCACTCTCTTACAAACTCTGATTCTCATCTGGAGGACACGATCAAAAATCATGGGTGATAATTTGAGGAAGAAGGCAAACGCTGTGAAATAAGATAAAAAGCAAGTAAAGTATATGAAATTTATGGAGTATTTCCAAATACCGACTGATTGAAGTCAAACACTGAAGGAGTTAATGATTCTCCTTTGGGCTGAGGGAATAGGACTGACATGTTCTTGTTTGGTAAGGATACACTGACACGTATCCAAAGGCGAGCCACGAAATGAGTTCGGGGACTGAAATTCAAACATTGCAAAGAACGGATCAAATTATCGACTTACAAAATCCTAAACACTTCTTAGCACCTCCGAAAATATCCACATAAGCTCAGTCCCAACACAAATCTTAGGGGTGGCACGCAGAAATCAAAAGCAAAACAGAGAAAACTGGATCATAATCACACCTTTTACTCCTTGTGAGTAGTCAAATCCTTGAATTCTCTGCCAGTCAAGGTGGTCTAAGCCATTTCCCAGGAGTCCTACAAGAAAAATCTTGACATATTCTTAAGGACTAAAGACAATATTTCACAATGACTTACCAATATTTATTTTTTCATCAATAAATATACCTAGGTTCTTACTTAGAGAAATCAGTGATCCACTAATAACAGATACAGAAGTTCGTTAAACGAAAGTTGCTTTTATACGAATATTCGTCAAGATTAGAACGAATAGTTTGACAGTAATTGAGCGCCGAGTATAGAGAAGTCATTATATGTGAAAATTATATTTGAAATATTCTCAGCGACTGAAATATAACTAATTCCAACGTTTCGTCCAGCTAACTTGTCTGGACTTCTTCAGGGTAATAATCAAAATCAAAATTATCAAAGAAATATATAGCTTTTAACAATCAGGATTATACTGTGTTAAACCAATCATATTTGGGTGTTGATTTTTTATAAAATAGGATAAGATGAGTCAGTTGACTACAAATCATGTGATGAATTCAACTACATGGAAATACTTAACTGAGTAACAAATCGTATGTGTGTGAGTGTGTATGTATGTATGTATGTGTGAGAGATTGATATGAAGGAATAAATAAAGTTCAAGTTCAAGGATGAAAAACTTGATAATGAAAGATCGATGTGCATGTCAAAACATAAATTGTATTGTTTAGAAACTCATTCAGTTCTTTCAATAATAATAACGATGCATGTGATATTAAAAACAGGTTTAAACAAGAGATAAGTTCCAAATTTACTTGTCAAACGAAATTTGCCAGGTAGTTGCCATTTGAATACCATCTTTTCGGTTCAGGCTGTTGCTTTTATTCCGTCCACAATCATTTGCCCATTTAGAGTACGGAAACAGAGTACTCCCCCCTCACTCCAAAAGGACAAGGTCACTTTGGAGCGTATCCAACGGCGAGCCACGAAATCAGTTCGAGGACTCAAATCTAAGCCTTACGAAGAACGCCTCCGTTCACTAGATCTTTACCCACTAGAATATAGGCGTCTTAGAGGTGATTTATTAATGGCTTATAGTATTCTTAACACTTCTGGACATCCTCTTAAACACCTACTTAAGCTTAGTTCGAATAATAACCTAAGGGGTAACACCCAGAAACTGGAAACACAACATAGCAGGACGGAATGTAGACACAACTTCTACTCCTTAAGAGTTGTCAAAAGCTGGAATTCGCTGCCGGCCGAGCTAGTCCAAGCGACTTCTCAGGAGTCCTTCATTAGGCAACTTGACCTATTCTTAAGAACCAAGGACAGCATCACACTATGATTTACCAATTTCTTTTTCCTCTTTTATTGTTAACATACCTAGGTTCCTGCCTGGAGGATTTCGTGATCCCCTGCTACTAGACACGGAAGCCTGTTAAGCGAAAGCTTCTTCTATTCCGTCCACAACCATTTGAACCATTTGAACTCAAGGTCGTTCGGGGCAAAATATCTGGTAAATTTGATCGTCTAACTTCATGTTTGACTTCAAGTTAGAATATGTCCGAATTACCGTATTGTATTGTGTATTATATAACACTTATGTTTGATCAAGTGTTTTTATTCTTATTTCTTTTTACACAAGAGACACATAGTTATTGCCTCTGACTGTCGTTTGTGTATAAACGATACCATAATTGCAACTATAATACTTCCCAATTTCCCTATTTCGGGAAAATTCCATCCGTTTTAGGTAAGTTTTGGGGAAGCCGCTACAAAAAGCTTCGGGGAAATGGCACAAAACCTCAAAATTTCCACAGGTCTCAAAAGTCATCGGGAAATTTCGGGTTTTCCCCAATATTTCTCCATAATCTCATGACACCTTGGTAATTTAAACTACAAAATTTCTTACGACTTTACCCAAAATAGCAATACTGTGTTCCTAAACAACTGATGAAGAGGAAATAAAGGAGAGCAACGTGGAAATAAAGTGGGCATTTCGTTAGCATATAAAGGAGAAATAATGGGGAAACGCGCCAGAATGTCCACCTTTTCGCCTGCTATGGGTAAATAGTGCAGAATTCACCGCTTCTTGTTTCCCTATGTCCCAAATGTCGCTGAGTTGTCTACTTCTGCCTTAATTTAGGCACCGAATTATCCAGTTTTCGCCTATATATATATATATATATATATATATATATATATATATATATAATACAAATATAATATAAACTAAGTCTGACAGTGGAAAACCGTGACAAATTCAGCTTGTTTACTGTTGGTTGAGCATAATTCTCGTCAATTTTTATATCATTGTTCGTCTCTAGATCATTTAAGCCTTTGAACTGAAATAGAATGGCTCGTATTGAACTCATACGTAGATTGCGACTATTCACAGTTTTACGTCGAATGTCAGATTATGATAATCGATTTGGTACAACCAAACTAGTGATGCCAGTTGTTTCACGTCCTGCTTCATTTTTTTCTTTCATCAAGTCGAAGCTTAGTGAAGCTGCCTCTAGTCAGTCTAAAGACTCTCAGAGTGTACCAAATGACAGGTAAGTTGGATCTACCTTCAAATTTTCTCATTTTATCATAACAGAATAATTTTTCATTGATCATAGATTGCCAGAAGTCTAATCTTGTTTCTCGTACGATTAAATAAATTTTCTGGTCGCTAAGATGTCAATTTCATAATTTATTTTATACTTTATTGGGAAGCAAAAAAGTTTAGGACGACGGGACATTACACTAAACGAAATAGTATTCTTGTAAGGAAAAGAAAAAGTGAACCTTGTGGTTACAATAAGGACTATAATACTAAAAGAGATGATTCAAATTCAAATATAACCAAGGTAGATTTCTTTCTCCTCAAAATATATCTTACTGTCTATGAAAAACATAAACATGTTTAGTGATGTTTCAACTTACAAAGTTTCGTAATTTCTATAATCTTATCCACATAGTTTTAATGAACTAACAAGTTCTTACCTGATAGTGCGATTTTTCATATTTCAATATTATTCTTAAGAATGACAACTCCAGCCAGCTTCACAGTTAGGAAACAGTCACATGAAGAGCGTTTACAAACTCCTTAAGTGAATGTTGTACGACAACTCCACTAATTTGGTTATCACAATATACTGAGACGCGTCACCTAGTCTCTCAATCGAATGTAAGGTGAGTAACATTACAAAAGCAGAGATGGTCCAACAGAAAACCGTATAACGTACTCAGCTCAAAGCTCATGCTTCACGAAAGCATAATACAGGTACTGATACCGAAGTGTTATACACTGGACCTTATATTCATTAGACTAACATGATAATAGTGCTAAATCTGATACTGTCCACCACACTACTACCAAAAACACCTACTTAAATACCTGTACTATTCCCATTGCCTTACAATAATATAGTGAGAGCAATCGTAGAGTCCTCCTATTCTTGTATAGTTACTGTTCACTTCAATGATACATGCACCTGTCTATCATGCTGTTTAATATTCTTGATTTTTCTAACGTAATTACGGCGGAATCAATACATTTACCACTATTTTATAAATAGTCTAACAGTCGTAGCTTAAGTGACAAATCAAACCTTCAACAGCATGTTTAGTATCAGTTGTACAGTTCAAAAATATTCTTTCTTGTAAAGTTAACCTATAGAACATGAACATCAGAGATAAACGATACTTGTAGACTTCAATGTTTTATCATTCTTGGAGTATTTATTGTGTATTGTGGTACTTTTTAAAAACCTTTATTGATTAAAAATTGAAACATCCCATGAAAACCTTTTGTCCTTACTTTCCTCTGAGCTATATCAAAAGTTGTTGGCTTTTTGATATAAGCTCATGAGACATGATAAATTCAGTTGTAAACGCTAGTTTAAGCTGCTTCGAAATTGATCTTAGCAAACAAAATACATTTAATTTTCATCACTACTAGGAGTATGAACAGTATTATTTCATACAGAATGTTTTACCACTCGTTCTAATTTCACTAAATTTAATTCGATGTATCGCTTCGTGTTTATGTTTTCTTTTGTTTCACTGTTAAGAGATAATCTGTTACTTTTATATCAAAGACTTGTTAATTACTGGTTCATTTTGTTACTAATCAAAATAAAAGGACTTGCAGTTGAGATTAGTGTAACAATTTCTACGTTGATACATTATTATTCCGATCCTTCGTTCAGTTTCACTTCAATCGCCATTTAGCTTGCTCATGTTTAAAAACTCAACTAACAGAAAAATATCAGTCTATTACAGCCTGACTTTTATTACAGCTCTACTCATTGTTTTGTGTAAACAGCTTCCATAATTTAACTACTAAAATTACTTAAATTGAAACTTGGCTATTCCATTTTGGTAGGTATCAAAATTGTATATTTCTGAGGTATCACGAAACACTAGTTCGGTACTGATTTATTTGTTTTTCAACGTAACTATTCGGGAAATGTTTAGCATTTCGAAGAATACTCACACTCACATTCAATTTTTGTATTTTGTTTCCCTTCGAAAATTTTAGTGAGTGGTTGGATGCAGTCCAAGAAGTTGAAAAATCGGAATTGTTACATTGGAAAGGATCTGATACTAGTATGACTAGGACAGAACTTCGAAAATGGAAGAAACGTACATTCCTTGTAAGCAATAGTCACAGGATGTATTTTCTTTTATCGTAATCATATACACTTGTTATATATGATTTTTCAAAGTGTTAGCTACATTATAATTTACTTGATTTAGTTATTATCAATATAGAACCCAAGCACAATGAGTGTGCATTTATCCAAGTTGCCATACCTCATATCAGAGTAGCTAGTGGAAATCAACAAATTAACGATAGTTGGGTGAGAAGTAACATGGATAGCAATTATTCTCGTACTCATTTTGATTATTTTCTTTAACTTGATTCCTGACCATATAGTTAGTGATAATTTTCTCTAACAAGTTGATAAATTTGGTCTGTTTCAGTATGGTTATTGATTGTGTAGTAACCTGACTGCTAAGTCTGTGGTTTTCCTCTATATTATCTTTGTCCAATATGTCGACGTTTTCCTAGTCGAACACTTGTCCACAATTGGGATTTCTAACAACTCATAGACATCAATCAACAAAAGTTATACTTATTAACATGAGTTCTAACAACGATCATTGCCTCCATAAACTGATAATATATTTATCTGACTATCTCTAGTCATTTTTCCTTCTGCACCTAATCAACGACATATTATTATTACTATTTCCTCTACTTCACTCCGCATCCCATTAATTTCGTATGTTTCTATCTCTCACTACGTTGATTTGACGTGCTACGATATGCACCAATAATATGCATGTACACCATATTTATAATTCTTCTATGACTGATTAAACAACTAATAACATGTAATGCCTAAAGTTTGTACTTTTATCTCTTGTTATATTATTACAGCATATTTTAGAAATGTTTATTCAACGATCAGGACCAAGTCGTAAAGGATTTACTTCGTTCATTGAAAACGCACTAACTAAAATGCCTGAATATGAAGTGGTTGATGATTTAGATTGTTATAAAGCAGTAATTCGTTTATTTCCTACTGGACGAATGGTTGTGAAACGTTTCTTACAAGCTGATTTTGGTCATTTTCCAAAACAACAACAAGTTATGATTGACATATTAAGTCAAATGTCAAGATATCGTGAGTTAAATCTCTTTATTCCATAAAAAAAATCTTTTTTACATCAGTATAAGTGTTCTATTGTGACTCTTTTAGTCTGATGATTTATAGATTCGAAATTTAAAGCAATAGGTATTGAGTTTGAGTCCCTTTGTGATTATCAACATTGGTATGTAGACGAACCCAGCTTATGAGTCTTGTATCCATAACCAACTTTCAAGTATAGGGATTATGTAGCCATGCATTTAGAGAGCCCATATGTTGTCAGATAAATCAAATTCAATACTGAATATCAAAGTGAATAAAAAATCAAACTGTTACAACTAATTGTAAGTGTGCGCAAATACGAGAGAACGAAGCTGGCTTCAGACCTGGTCATGGCTGCATCGACCACATATTCACCATTCGTCAGGTTCTAGAACATAGGCATACTTATCGGCGTCCAACAATGGTGGTCTTTCTCGACTTAAAAGCAGCATTTGACTCGGTAGACCGCGAGATTCTGTGGCAGTGTCTGTCATTGAAAGGCGTACCTCAGAAGTACATAAACCTTGTGAAGGCTCTTTACTCGAACACTACTAGTCGAGTCAGAGCTTATGGCGAACTGTCATCTACTTTTGCAACTTCAAGTGGTGTCCGTCAAGGCTGTCCACTTTCTCCATTTTTGTTTAACTTCATCATAGACCTATTGATGGAAATAACATTCTCGTCTACTGAATTCTTGGGTATTGATCTCCTTCCAGGAGGTCCACTTATCGACTTAGAATATGCAGATGATATAGTCCTGTTTGGTGAAGACGCTGATAGAATGCAGTCTTTTGGTAGCACTAAGCAACAATGCCAGAATGTTTGGAATGCGCTTCTCTCCCTCTAAATGCAAGCTGCTGCTTTAGGACTGGTCTGCATCAACACCTGAACTAAGGATAGGGAGTGAAGTAGTCGAACGCGTTGACAACTTCACTTATGTTGGAAGTCTGATCAGCCCTAATGGGTTGGTATCGGACGAAATCTCAGCACGGATTCAAAAAGGTCGCTTGGCTTTTGCCAACTTACGTCACCTTTGGCGGAGGCGAGATATCCGTCTATCAATAAAAGGACGAGTATACTGCGCAGCAGTCCGTTCTGTTTCAATTTACGGCAGCGAAACATGGCCATTAAGAGTAGAAGACACTCGTAAGCTACTAGTATTTGACCACAGATGCCTTAGAAACATTGCCGGCGTCTGCTGGGATCACCCAGTAAGTAATAGTGAGGTTCGACGCAGGGTATTAGGTAATGATGGTAAATCAGTTGATGAGGTTGTGAATGTTCATCGACTGAGATGGTTGGGTCACGTGTTACGTATGCCCGAACACCGATTACCACGACGTGCAATGCTAACCGGTGTTTGGGATGGTTGTAAGAAAGTTAGAAGCGGCTAAACCAAAACGTGGCATCAGTGCTTGAAGTCACTAACCTGTAGTCCGAGCCATGTTGGTAGATGCAGACTAGTTGGTTGGGGTCCGTGTGACTATCGTAACCAATGGTTGGAGACTGTGTGACATGGCTCAGAATCGATCAGAATGGCGTCGGTGTATACACTCTCTGTCTTCCCTTAAACTGAGAGATTAAAATCGCTCCATATCTTTCTTTCTACGAACTAATTCTTTCTTCCTGTACTATATCCTTATTGCAATCTTTCTTTTATATATTACCACCTCTGAATTAACTACTTTTTTGAATCCGGTGTCCATCTTGTTGTGTTAATGAGGTATGGCAACTTGGACTGATGTATATCTATGCCTGGTCCTACGTTGTAGCTGATTGACTGACTGAATTGTAAGTTTAATTCATTATTCCATATTATAAGTGACCGTTTACCATACCATAGTATACAACCACAATTAATAGCATTTAGATAGAGATGGTTAATAATACTAAATAGACAGATCAATTCGTGTAGTATCTGATTGTTATTTTCAATTTTGGACTTAAGTGTAGGCATTTTTGTCCGACAAGTGGAATCAGTAGCCTGGGATAATTCTTGAAGACATTCAATGATAGACCTTTATAGTCCAAGATGCCGAACTGCATACATTGCGAATGAAAATTAACAATCATACTCATTCTCAAACGTTTTTTCGTTCTTCAATCTCATTCGTTCTTTTTGCACTGTTTTACAGTGTCGTCGACTTCCATTGCAGTTATGAAATTAATTTCTCTGCTTCTCTTGTTGATTTGTCCTGATGTTTCAAATCAAACTTAAATTGATACATATTCATGGCAGGTTTCCATTTGATAATGATGATTGACAACTGTCACCCACTAGAATTAAATATTAAAATTCATTTTTCGAATCGATCTTAACTTGGTACGTTTGAGGAAACCTACGTTTAGATAAAAATCTAGTTTTCGTTCGTTCCCCAGTGTGGAATAATATCGATTCTATTACCAAACAGATTAGTTCAACCACTCCATTCATTTTACTAATACTAATCAGTTCGTTATAATAAATGTCAACAGCGTTTAGTCTGATGTACTGGATAAGCATATATAAAACAAATTTTCCGAGTCAACAGATGAAGAACCAATTTGTAGCTTTTCTTCAGAGTTTCGAATACGGTCTGCCGGGTGGAAAACATCAACGTTAAGACTTTTTAAATACATAGACAAACATGTCTGTTTTCCTATCTGTTGCAGTGTCCTGACCTTGGAGAAAATCTTTTAAAGTGATACACATGACCTCAGGAAAGTTGATTCAGATTTTGTATTCGGTAGTAACATTCAGATATTTGAATATTCAGCAACTTGAAATAGTTTATACAGAACAGAGCTTTCGATATAAATGAGTTAATGAATGAGTTGAATAACAGGAGTTTACACAAAATGAGAATAAAAAGGGACAAAAGGTTGAAGCAAAGTAATTTAATTTATTTACGAGTCAATTATAGGTATTACTTGATTAAGTAATGGAGCGGAGAGAATAAAAGTTTTTTCTTTTCAAATTTATATTTGCAATCATTAGAATTTCTGTCTCGGTTTGGATTAATTTTGATAACGCAGTGTATACACAGTTAAATTATAGTAGCTTTTTGTATACCTTATGTGAAGTTTTTTTATTATTACGTTGAAATTCACTAGACGTCCTACCAGATGATGAAGTTGGCCAAATGATTATCGACATTTTCGGTTGGCGTAATCATGCTATGAATGCTTATCGTCGTCTAATGTATTGGATGCCTAAATTGTATTATAGTAATCCATGGACATTACCACTTCGTATCGTTGATGATCTTGATTTAGATCCCATTAAATTGGGCTGTTTAATTGCTGAAAGAATATGCCCCGATCGGATGACAGAATTCACTGTTGTACAGGTTAGTTAATTAAACAAAAATTAGCGTCTATCGATTAATACAATTTTATTAAGATGACTACGTCAGTCAGTCATAATCATTGTAGTCTGACACATTTGTGAGTTGACCCCAGGTTCTCGTACCACATCAGCACGATCAGATGAAATTACCAACATGAATAATAAATGGGTCTAAACGGTGTAGTAGAGTATGATTTGAAAAGACTGAATGAAAACGTAGTCGTGGAAGAATGTTGGAACTCAAAATCTCGAGAGGAAGATAAAAAGTGAGTGGATCTGTGTCTTTGTGACCGATTCTGAGTTATATTGATCAAAATCTTGTGAAAATTCAAGTTTGAGTCCAATTTGAACGTAATTTTCATCACTTACTGACGTCCAGCTAGAAGACCCCTACAAAACAAGGACACTCGACAGTTATTTCGGTACTCACAGTCAGTAAGAATTTAGTGATCTGAAAGTTTTGGCTTAACTAGGAAATTAAGGGCATTGGGCCCGAATCCTGATCTGTACTATCAAGTAATATACAATTGGGTCCGATTCCCGCGTTTGAGGTCGTTGATACTCAATACCGAGGAGTTTTATACCTGGAAAAAATCCCGTTTAGTACTTCCAGGTTTTCAATAGTGGTTTAATATTGATCGGTTCACGATTTCAAATAAGCACTACTGTAAAACCCAACAAAAATGCACGCGAGTTAGTTCATTCAACTATTACTCATTTACCCAAAACCAAAGTAGTTAAATTAGTTTCAACCAATGACACAATGGATGAATGGTTAAGTACTTCAAGTAATGAATCAAAAGTCCACACATTCAGCATGACCACCGATGTTGTGTAGGTAGAAGCCAACTTTGATTGGTTGATGTTCTAGATAGACAGTCAAATATATCCAATGTGTAATCTATGTTTTTTACCCTCTGTATTTTTTCATAATATGTGTTAGTCAGGAGAGTAATGTTTTCTTAATGGAATTTCATTTGACATGTGATGGCCTGGTCGCTATCTGGATATCTATTATGGTACGTGTCAATTCCATACTTAATATTTACCATTCTATTGCTCATTCAAAGAAATCTAGTGTTCTAAAAAAAGTTAAACTTCATTTCAATTAGTTACTATTCATTGGACCCATTTTTATGTACGTAACATATTCTCTCATCACTTTTTATGCTGCTTATTGATAAAAAAAAGGTTGTTCGGTTCATCCCTTTGCTTTTAGTAGTATTTCCCTAAGAATTAGATTATTTTAAAATTCAGTAGAGATATTGAAATTTCTGCTTACTTAACGTACTATTAAAGTTCATACTTTTTCGCAACAAAAATCTGTCATGGACAAACAATCCGTATTCTCATCATGACCATTGCCGTTCTCTTAGTAACCAAATAATCTTCTAATATCTTAACTTGTTATATGCCTTTCAGAATCATGTGCAAATTTTATGTTTACAGAATAATTGTATCATCCTTTTCATTTTCAGGAAACTTACGTCTGTGACCCTTCGTGGGAGCATAGACCGCCAACCAGCTCTGTCTGTGCTGTCCTTTCCGATTGTTTCCATTCGCTGTTCATTCTTTTCATGTCTGTCTCCAATTCCTTTCGTAATATGTCTCTCGGTCTTCCTCTTTTCCTTTTGCCTTCGGGATTCTGAGTTAGGGCTTACCTTGTGATGCGGTCTGATAATTTTCACAGTGTATGTCCTATTCACCTTCGGCATCTTTTTCTAGTTTCCTCTTTAGCTGGAAGCTGGTTTGTTCTCTCCTACAGTGGGCTGTTGCTGATGGTATCCGGTCAATGGACATTGAGTATGTTGCGTAGACAATTGTTTATAAATAATAAATAGTGTACAACTGCATCTCTCGAATCTTATCTTTTCTGTCCAGGTTGGGTTCAATGGCTTCCACTTATTCCGAGCACCGCCAAATTGTATCTCCTCATTCCCGCAGCAGTTCGACTGGTCCTCCTAATCTCCCACATTGTTCGAACATTCCACATACCTATATTAATTGTTTCCCTGATTGTTGGAAGGTGGGTCGGCATAATGACTTCTGAAGAATCTCGGTTTTCATCGTGAGGCGTAATAATTCTCCTAAATGAAGGTCCTTCAACTTCCAGGGTAGAGTATGAATAGTCTAAACGGTTTTTTCTCGTTAGCGTCTCTTTAGCAAGGTTGTTTTCTATGGGATTGGGTTGGTGATCCCATACAAAACCTCTTATCCAGACTTAGGACCGACAGTAACCCCGAAAGGACTACTGATAGAGTTTTTTTAGAAGACTGATTACTTTGATGTGTAAGGACGATCTAAGTGTAAATTAGTGCCACTACTATGGATGAAGCGCGTATTGTTCATATTGTAGCATTAGATTTTCTGCGCATTAATATCGGAATACATCATGCTAATTGCGAATATCTAATGTAACCGGTATCTTTCTTGTTTTCGCCATGGTTGTTGAACTTCTTTTTTTGCTGGTATTTTTTAGATGTCTTCATCTAATCCTGATAGACCAGATTCACTTATCAGTGCTCAAAGTCCTGAACAGCGTGCATTACTAGCATATTGTACTAATAAACAAATTCACAATGATCAGATAAATAATACTCAATGTACAAAACCAACGATTTATTTAGATGGACCACATTATGTATGGTTTAGAAATTTACAAGTGAGTGGGGTTGATGTACTGAGAATTAACATAATTAATAATATTCAGTCAATTTTTGTTCTCTGAGCTGAATGGTGGTTTAGTTGTGGAGCTTCCGAGCAACATGACAATTTTGTTGAAAGTTCCACAACTAAACCATCCAGCTCGGAGAATGAAAATCCATTTACATGAAATTCAAATATTACCCACCATCTTAATGTACATAGATAATTCATATCTCTTCAATTTTATTCTTTGATTGATTGTATCTTTAAAAAGTGAAATAAATTTTACTCCATTTGTGATTAAGTAAATGGTTCAAGTATGTCTACAAAGTTTGTTTTATCTAATATATAGTTGTTTCCGCTTCCTCATCCCCTAATCCAGCTGTTAGATACCTAAATACAAAGTAAATCCGATTCGTTGACATCAATGTTTTCTCAATATCTATAGGGTCGTTTGAGACATGTACTACTCATCAAAGGGATGAAAAGTGGTTATGGATTATGACTTCATCTACCGTTATAAAACATTTCTCAGCGAAAATTTGGCAAACTAATTTGTGTCCATAAAGGATTACCTCAAATATAAATCCATTTAGATTATTACTCAGTCGTAATCAATGTGAGATACGGGACGGATGTTCTAGTTACTTCGCGTCATATTTGTACAGTGAGATAAAATTAACAAAATACCAAAGGAGTCGAAATAATCATAGTATCACTGGTGTTTGTCAGGGTTGTCTACTCTCTCTATTCTTGTTTAACGTGCTTTTAGAGATAACAATTTCCTCATCTAAATTTCCAGGAGTTGAACTTTTACCGGGTGATTCACTTGTTGACTTAGAAAATGCTGATGAGATAGTTCTATTTGGTGAAGACGCTGACAAAATACAGAGTCTTCTGACCACCGTAAGCACCAATGCAAGTATGTCCGGCATGCGATTCTCCCCTTGAGATGCAAAATGTTGCTTCAGGGTGTGGGTTGCATCGACACCTGAACTAATGATAGGGAAGTGAAGTAGTTGAGCGTGTCGACCGCTTCACTTATCTTGGAAGTCTCATCAGCCCAAAGTCTCCGACCATTGGTTACGATATTCTCACGGACCCCGAGAGCATTATGTGCACCTACCCATATGGTCTGTCCAATAGACAGTGACTTCACGTTTTGATTTGGCCGCCCTTGACTATCTCCCAGCCTACTAAACTAGACGACATGGCGCGTAGAGGTAAGCAGTTGTTAGACATGCACAACACGTGTCTTAGTCACCTCAATTCATGAAAATCCACTGTCTCGTTAACTAATTTACCATGCTTACCTAGTACTAGATATCTAACTTTAGCATTGGTTACTCGAAAGTCCGGAAACCAGTGTTAATAAATGGTATGGTGATGTTTCTCTTGTAAATTCTTTATAAACGCTTGTGTCTTTACTACTAGACTCTTAATTGTTTCGGTCATTTTATATGTATCTTGTTTTCATTTTATCCTTATTCTGGGTTGGGACAAGTTGAGTGAAATGTAGTGGTTATAGATACTAAACAAGTGGAGTCGTAACATGGTGTCAATGTAATCTCCTTTTTTCTCCTTACTTCTTTATGCATAGGCTGCTTATTACACCTTATGGACAGAGATCGATGCTGATCGATTAAAAAAAGAAATTAATTCAGTAAAAGTTAACCAAGTGCCAAAGCATAGTGCAGACGGTAAGTGTTTATTTCCGTTAAAGATCCTGTTGTTGTGTTTTTCATGTTATAAAATGATTTTATATAAGGTAGTCGATCAAGACAGAAATTATAATGATCTTACCTACTCTATAAACCACCAACTTCGGTACTGTATTCATTCACAAGATCAGTTGACTACACGTCCTCAGATCTCCAATCAACAAACACTATAAATCCCAGATGAATGATTGTAAGTATCTTTCCAGATCACAACACCACGAAGTACAAGATACAACGACAGCTAGTGAGTTGAATCAACAGTTAGGACTATATAATAACTCATCAAGGAATAACCACTCAAGTTTGATATTTCCTTCTTGCTTACTTTTCTTAATTGACATACGTCTCTAATCAATCTTTAGAGGGAAGTAATTGTAAGATGATTCTCTTTTAGAAGATTTTCACTTGAAATAGTTGTTGATTTCAATGTCATATGAATTAAATTATTAATCAATCTGTTTATTGTATTATATGGCTTTAAAGTCTAATAAGTTTATGCATTGAACATGCTTTACTTTACTCACCTCTGAGTCTAATCACCAGTGTTCTGACATTTTTTATCCCATATGGTATCATTTAACTAATGTTCAAAATTCTCAAATAACTGTCAGACTCAACTCACTCGGCTGCAATCATGACAAAAACATAATCCTAAAATAAAGCACTTTACATTCTACATTGATATTTTAAAGATTAAATGTATCAGTTAATCGAACCAGACTAAATGATGCCGTTTTTTATAATGAAAATTGTTGTTCTTATACTTGATATTTGTACTTCCAATAAATCTCAGACTACAACAAAATGAATGTCTGCCATATTTTAGTTTCCATTGGTTACCCGGTTAGTGTTTATACCTGATGGAATGCGCCTCATCACTTATGCTGAATGATCTCAATAAAATTACTTGAAATGTTTCAACCAATTACATCATTGCACCACTGATCATTCCTCTTATTTTCTATATTTCTCTCTTCAATTCTAAATTATCTTCCATACTTACTGTAGGAAAATTAATTAGATAAGTTGTAAACCATTTATTAATTAGACTATTAAGGCTATTCAATGAATACTCAGAGTGAATAGCATCAGACATTTGCTGAAATTTGTAGAAAACCAAGAAATTCATAAAGGAGTTCTGTTTACACATAAATCAAGTGCTGCAGTGGAGATCGTAAAGTCATAAAAGCATTATACAGGGTCAAGATGACAGTTGAACTTTTGTATTGATGACAAGATCGGATGCATATCGTCTTTTGTGTTTTGAAATTTCTGATTCTCTCTCTGAGTGATTGTTGATTATTTAGATATGAGAAGATCGTCGTCGCATGTGATCCTCTCAGATAGATTGAATGATTTAATTACCGAAGATATTTTTAGCACTGAAATTAAATCCGTTACTATAGATAGAAAATATTGTCAAAAGGACGAGATTTGTTCAAATGGAGTTTATATAACCTTAGCTCGCGTATTTATTGGACAGACTACGTAAAATCATTAATTCTCCATTTCATAATCACAATGCACTACTTATATCTTACATTTTCCATGTACGTTTTTATACATTTTCGTTTTACAGAACCATATAATCTTTCATTCTTCAACTATTCTAATGATAGTTCAAATATAGTACTGAATAGTTCCAATTCCCAAAATGCGAATCGCTCACTTTTTCCACATATGAGTCTTCTTCCTACAGTGAGTTCAGTCGGTACTGAATTGCATCATTGTAATGAAGATAATGTCTTTACAAGATTTATAAGTAAGTGTGAACCAGAATTCGATAAACGTTGGCTTTCAATTCGTCAAAGTCATGTCTATAAATATTTACCATCCAATCTATGTCAACATGAACAAGGTGAGGGTACAATACTTGCTGTTGGAGTTGTTGTACCTAAACCAGATGCTTTGGATAATCAGAAAAAGTTATATGATTGGGAAGTTTCTAACAGAATTCATCATACAGATTCAAAAGACTGTAAACAACGAAATCAAAAAGAAAGATACAATTTACCACAAATCCCATCACCTGCATCTTCCGCACTTATTCGACTTTGGTTAAGTGAACTGCACGCTAAAAATCCTTTCTTTGATGATGCTGCATTAATTATTCGAGTTCCAATGAATATTGATCAGGGCCAAAAATCTGGAAATAATAGTCGTACTGATGATGATTTACATTTAGAGAATCAAGATAAGGATATTAAGTATGAATCGTGTAATTAACGGACACATTACGTTGTGTAAATAAATTGTTTGCGTTTTGAGTAAACAATAGTAATAATGTTAATTAAAATGTACATATAAACCTCAATGTTGATTATCAGTCTTATCAACTGAAGTATGGACTATTTTCTATGTATTAGTGGAATCATTGTTAAAGCATATGCTTTTTCCTCATGTATTTTACACATAATACGTATCCCTACATGTTAGAGCAACAATTATTAATCACAAGTGGGGACTGTGATTTTGTGATTATTTGATATCTTAATGAATGTATCTTAGTTTAATTTATCCATAGTTTTGCATTAAAAAACCAATCGATACTTTGTAATTTGTACTAATCGATCTTAAGTTTTACTGAAATATACCATCAAGATTAAATACTGTTGGAAGACAGTCTCGCCTCGTGATAGTCATCTGAAAAACGTTAGTTTATACTTCGAATCTGCAAATCATAAACCTATACTTTATAGTAAATGCAAAGAAGACAAAAAATAGCGATTGGTATTTGACCAAGAGAATGCTAAGTACGTCGATCCATTGGGACATACAAGCCCGTGATTGACCAGTTAGTCACTGATAAGCAAAACTAGTTGAGATAGGATGGGTTGACGTTGGATAAGTGTTGTTTGGCAGAATATAAGCAGTCAGATGGAACTCCTGGCCAACATAGGATCTTAAAGAATTTTGGATGGACGAATGTTCCTATATTAAATTCTGAGAATAGGTGCTGCGTCAACACCTAAACTGAGGATAGGGAGTGAAGTAGTCGAAATTACGTCACCTACGGCGAAGGCGAGATATCCGTCTATCAATAAAAGGACGAGTATACTGCGCGGCAGTCCGTTCTGTTTTAATTTACGGCAGCGAAACATGGCCATTAAGAGTAGAAGACACTCGTAAGCTACTAGTATTTGACCACAGATGCCTTAGAAATATTGCTGGCGTCTGCTGGGATCACCCAGTAAGTAATAGTGAGGTTCGACGCAGGGTATTAGGTAATGATGGTAAATCAGTTGATGAGGTTGTGAATGTTCATCGACTGAGATGGTTGGGTCACGTGTTACGTATGCCCGAACACCGATTACCACGACGTGCAATGCTAACCGGTGTTTGGGATGGTTGTAAGAAAGTTAGAAGCGGCTAAACCAAAACGTGGCATCAGTGCTTGAAGTCACTAACCTGTAGTCTGAGCCATGTTGGTAGATGCAGACTAGTTGGTTGGGGTCCGTGTGACTATCGTAACCAATGGTTGGAGACTGTGTGACATGGCTCAGAATCGATCAGAATGGCGTCGGTGTATACACTCTCTGTCTTCCCTTAAACTAAGAGATTAATTTCGCTTCATATTTTTCTTTCTACGAACTAATTCGTTCTTCCTGTACCATATCCTTATCGCAATCTTTCTTTTATATGTTACCACCTCTGAATTAACTATTATGAATCCGGTGTCCATCTTGTTGTGTTAATGAGGTATGGCAACTTGGACCGATGCGTCTATGTGCCTGGTCCTACGTTGTGGCTGACTGAGTGCTGTTAATCACCAACGTAGATGGTCTATTTTAAATGGTCGGAGCTTTACTCAAGTTAGACGGGAATGGTATGACGAACCACCTAACTTCAGAGTCACACCTCGCGGTCAGCTTCTAACGTAGTTATCCGTTCGACGTATCAAAGCACTACGGCTACTTTGAACACCGTGTAACACAAAAGACGTTATTATGGAAATATATTTGTAAGAATCTGCACATGGAAGATAGCAAAACCACTACCGCGTGGACCAGTCCATGGCACACGATCAACTGATGCGCGTCGGTGGTCCTTGACAGGGATGGATGATCTGCTTGATATTCAATGACCCAACTGCCAGATGATTTGGCTAGGGCTCGATGACATTTCACTGGCCCTACAGATCAGTGCGTTCTGCTGCACAGATATTATTGGAATTGAGTGGTCTGTATTGTATTCCAAAGGAGTTGCAGTTGTCAAAATCCTAAAAATATGGATTAACGATTACTTTGTATTTGTTGAGTGCCCGATTTCGAATTCCAAATACAATACATTCGTTCGTCCTTGTTTAGTACTTCTTGATCCAATTGCATAATATCTGGGATCCCTAGTTTGTACTATAAGTCAAATACTTGTAATTATCATATTAGAGTAATCAAATAAATGCACCAATACAGAATCCACGAAATAGTGAAAGTTAAGGCAGATAGAACTAGGTGAACATAAATGAATGTATTACATTTAGAATTCCTAATAAACGCTGAGTCAATTAGGGATGGATCCTCACTTAGTACAAATGCCACAACAGTGTTATCGTAACCATAGTGTTTGATTGAAATCCTGAACTGATCTAAGTTAAACCACTAATGAAAACCTAAAAGAACAGGTCTTCGCTCGTGGATTTCACATAACTTCATCAAATTAAGGTGCTTGCTCAAATGGTTTTAGTCAGGATAGAAGAGGCTTTCGCTTAACCGGCTTCCATGTTTAGTAGTAGTGGACCACGAAAACCTCCAGGCAGAAACTTAAGTATATTATTGATAAAAGAGGAAATATAAAAAAAGGTGAATAATAATAAGATACCATCCATTCACGGTCGAACCGGTAGCAAATGCGTTTCAACGTTGTCGATGCAATGTTTTCTCGAAAAGCATTTATGTCGCAGTTAGCGTAAAACTTCAGATCATAGGATACTAATATTCTTAGATTTTTCCTCAACTTGGAATACCTCTATAAGTGAGCTACCTAAGTTGTATTCGTAGTCCGAAAAATGTCTTAGATGGATCACTTTACACTTCGAAGTATTAAAGGCAAGTTTGTTGTTATCCGCCCAACTATGAAGACGAGTAAGAATCTCCTGAAGTGTCAGTTTATTTCTTGATTGTCATCCCTAAAGGATAAATCCAATAACTTTCTTTCCTTAGAGGTAATCAGTACACCTCAGATACAGATTTTTAGGGAAAAGGAGATGAACATCGGAAAAAGCGGTCAGCTTCTCAGTGAGCATATGGAATCCATCAACAAGACAATTTGAAAACTACGACTAGAAGCGCTGGCTTAAGTTTGTGAATCACTCACAACTTTGTTGTTTCACATAACAACAGGCGGATCACTTTTATTACTGACGTCTTTATTCTACAGCGATGACCGCCAATGTATAATGACCTACTACTTTGATACAAGGTGCTAGTTCATTAAATATCACGTAGTCAGTAAAATTAGAAAAATGCCGTTAGCTTTCTCGTAAATGTGTAAAAACTTAATGGCAGGATGGCTGACACTGTGAGTGTTAACATCTTCATGCCGAAAGTCAGAGTAATTGTTAATTTTAAAAGATTGCTACATGTTGGAAACCTCTCCTGGATCCTCTAGGTAAAGCCTAACAACTACTTCAATTCGCTCTAAAAGGATAATTTTTACAATTTTTCTGAATCATCTGAATAACAATTACAATTCTTGAAAGAAAGAAGAAATTTCCCTTCAGCAAAACCCTCTTCTGTTTAGAGAGTGGTTAGCGATCAGACACGAGAGAATCCTAACTTCTATCTTTGGGAGCGAACAGAGTTCTTATATGTCCAAGATCAGGGAAAATCGGGTTCTGATCTTTTCAGTAGAGTTTTAAACGGCTATAATACAAACTAATCAAGAAATATGATGATAACCTGTGACCGCTTTCGGGAACAACGAGGGGTTTTGTCGATATATTCTTCTGGATAACAATCAGATTCAACAAGTTAGGTACTTTTTATCTTTACACCGAAATTTTGTTTAAACGCATCATTCACACTTGTTTCTATGTGTCTTGTCAAAGTCAAAACATGAAAGTCTACAAGTTGTATGAATTGCGACGTTATTATGCCAGAGTATCGTCATTAGCATTTGCTTTCGACACTTTTGTGGTTCTTATAGTTACGTTAATACCATGGATCATCTCGTATGTAACGGGTTGTAAGCAAATTGTCAGTTTCTGAATATTATATCAATATTTATTTAGTCATGTATATAAATTCTTATGCTTTCCCAGAGAAACCTCTGATATCGTTCGACGGAAACATGTTCCTTTTTCTCCAGAAGAGCGATGGTTTTCTTTATTATGGTAACATACCACAAAAGGAAACCAATCGTCTTTTGAAATCTTCGCTTAGGCTACCTCAAATCAGTTACTACAATTCTAAAAATAAAAACCTAAATGAAGAAGTGGCAGTTAATATTAATATCAAGTTTCCTTTGTCGCCGTCGGAAAAAATAATTGGTCTCACTATTGTACTATTGGTTGATGTTACCTTGTTGGTATATTCACAAGACATTAATTTCAGCTAATATGTTTTATAGCGTTTTTACAATAGGCTAGAAAAGGTTCCAGTATTTATAAACAAAGTTTTTCGGTCACATACTAGTGGATTTCTATATTCCGGGGACATTTTGTGCTTTCGGAAATACTTGTTACCTTCTACACAAGTAAGTTCATGCTTTGCAATGAAATTATGGTGCAGGCTAGTACTTATTATGAAACCAAAACGATTCCAAGCAAAATCTTTGAGCTATCATCAAACATCTCAAGAGCTGGTAGGTTATCTATCAGGTCATTTGCATTTTTTCTTCAGGATACTACTTACTTGAAGATAGAATAAGTGTACCTATAATACGCGAAAGTTTTTCAAGTACTTTTGACATAGAACTCTCTGTGTACTCCTCCTCTCTAAGAATCAGGTAAGTGTGCTGTGTATCTAATCCAAAACACTATGAATGAATAACATACATTGTTTAATAAAGGCGCATCGGATAAATGTTATGAGAGGTGGTTTAGTGGTTAACACCTTCAACTTTCGACCAATAAGTCATGATTTTAGACTCATTCCATCTACTTCCGTTTAGGTAGCCATATAGTATCATCATCCGTCACAATATAGATATTTCTCATGCCTTAACACCTGAAAAATGAATACCAACTTCATCAAGTCTGGTTTAGTTAAGTACACATATTGGTATCTCTGTCTTTCGAGAGTTTTACTGAAGTACTCGATTTTTTGAAATATTCCCATATTGTAAATTTAGAACAACATATATAAGCCAACAATATTGTTTTGGATTAGATCCTCATCAGGCTTTACTCTAATATACAGTAATATTTATATGCATATACAAAATTATTAAACCAATCAAGGTAGTTTATAAGTCAATGATAACAATGAAGACGATTACACAAATTAGTGAAACGTGAAAAGTACAATTGATGGTGTGACAACAGGTGCATTAGTTTTGATAAGAATAATAAAGGCTCAAATCAATGTTACATAATCGGAAATAGCTCAGTGATTAGAAAAATATATAAACTGGGATAACATTTATAAAATTACGAGATGACGTAATAAGAAATGTTCAGATAATTGGACCATGAAACTTATAGTTGAGAGAAAATAAAGTGGTAGGAGGGGCTGAAGAATAATAATAAACGAAGAGAAAGTTTGAAAAAGAATAAAGAAATCTATTTATTCCTTAAGGCCAGGGGAGAGATAAGGGTGTTACAAATTTCTTCTGAACACAAAGACTTGGCTTGTTGGCTCGGATTCCTATAGCTTCTGCTATGTGTAAGAGACGAGATCGAACACCATAAGGGAAGCTAGTGGGAATACGATAAATAGCTTTGAACGACTTGTTTCTGTTTACTATATGGCCGCTATCGATCAAGTGTGATAGAACCGAGCTGCGTATTGTTATGACGTAACCTTTTCCTAACCACGAAGGGAGGTGTTCACTAACTCGTTGATTCAGTTGCCTGATAGTGCGTCCAATATATACTCGATTTGTCGACTTAAAAGTCTGTTGATCAGTAACCTGTGGTACAAAACTCTTCTTGAATATATGGTGACATAATACAAAAGACAAACCAAATCTTTCACAATTAATCTCTTATCTGAATATTTATCTGTTCTTGTTGCTTCTTTCCTTCCGTGCTATTTCAGAATATGAATGTTCTAAATTTTGCATGTGTTCACAGGGAAAATCTGTGTCAATAGTAAATTATATATTATGTTGGTGAATAAGATACCTAAAGAAAAGTCTTGGTTGTGATTTGCACTTGATTGGCTGAATAGTAAATGAAGAACACATCATTTGAGTGACTTATATTTACCTTATACAATTTAAAATGACTTAGATGATAAAAGGTTATTGTTCTGCACGGTAGAATCCGATCTTCAGTTTGCGAGATTAGTCATATCAAGTATTCTATATATTTGTATCTATCCAGTGATCCGATCAAGGTCAATAGGATTGAAAATGTCTGATTGAAATCACCAACCAACTGGAATCGAATGAAGATATAAGAAATATTTTTAAAAAGTATAAGCTTTATGACATCATAGAAGCATTTTCAGCTGATGATTTGTAGTAAAGATGATTTTCTGGCTATCGGTTTCAAAATGTCAACTACTTGAATTTCTCCAACTTTGCTATCATAAATCATTTCTAGTTAATACATTTTATAATTCCTTGCATAATATATTATTATTAATATTGTCTTATAGTGCTAATCCAGGATTTTGGTATACCATCAAATTTGCATGGGTTCAATATTTATCAATTGGTTTAGTGATTTTTTATTTAGCTGAAAAAATGAGAGGATACATTTACGATAAACAAATAGTCAGAACAATTGTAAAGTCAACCATTCCAAAATCTTTGGATCAATGAAAATATCTACTTTGTTCTCATTTAACAATGAATAATCTACAGTGTGGAACGATTTGGCCAATAAAGTGATGGATATCTTTGTATTACCTTTGAAATTTACTTTTGCCCATTTACTTTTAGTCGGTGAATACCTACGATCCCAGCAAAATTACTTAATAAGATTTACATATCTCACAGCAAGCGCATAAATATCGAACAAATCTCAGCATATAATTTGGTTGACATTTTCAACTCAATGGCTTATTTACGTATAGAATCTTAAAACTAAATGGCGAAGCTTGCTTGAAAGTCTAGTTACATCACAAAGAATAGTATACACACTGGGAGTGTACACTTTAGTCCTGAGGTTTATGGGTGTTAGTAAATATGTGGGGTGTGAATACAGGAAAAACAAATATTTGAAACGTGGAAAAAAGAATAGCAAAGTACACAGCTTTTTCGAACAGGAATGACTAAATTTCCTGAAAATAAAGTTTATTACAGGTCTTGAAAACGGTGAGATCGTTCACGATGATTGAGGTTACAGATAGTGACCAGCACAAAGTAACCAAACCATGAAAGATTGAAAAATTCTTTTTCAGGTAGAATAACGAACCAAATTATCGAAAAAGAAATATAAGCTGATAGGATTATTAGTTTAATGCAAAAAAGCGATATTATTTATCATTTATAATAAGTAATATACCTCAACACAAAAAGCAAGGACGAAAACACGTGGGAATAAATGTATATTTTCAGTCATAACCACGTATATTATAGTAATAAGTTGCTCAAATAGATTATCAGAAACCACTGTGAACCAAACCAATCACGCTCAAACTTATAATTAAATGTAACAGCTCTCTAATCCAGTTCAGTGACGATATCCAACACTAGAATGAAAGTTTAGTCCAGGTTTTAGTGATACAAACTTTTACTAGGGAGGCAAATTATAACCGTTCTCGAACAGATACTGCCTAAAATAAACCGGTAGCCGTATGTTATAACTTTCATTTTGGATCGATGAATACCATGAGCAAGTCTCAACACTAACAGTAAGATGCCTTACTTATATCGTAGATGAATACCTTGGATGAACAAACGGAGTGCTAGTAGCTAGTGGTAATTTCTACGAATACATTTCGTTATTCCATATGCACTTAACAAGAAAGTTTGGTGTAACTGAACGAGTTCTCTTTCTCTTTACTTGGAATTGAATTCATGGTGTTTATTATAATATTTAAAGACGTAAAACGTATTATGTTAAGGTCATAGTGTTTGATTCGACTTGGCAAACGTACAACAGTTAACTGGAGACTTATGGGTTCGTGCGTAATGAACTATATGGTTCTGATTGTGGAGAATTATTTGGCATTCTTAACATCGTCGACACCAGCTTTAATTACACATAGATAACACTTGAAAAGTTAGACGATGAAAGGGGGTGAATATAATTTATGGACGACCCTTGAGCGGTTCTGTAGTGACCTTTAGGAAGTTCACCTACTTGCCACGATCAAAAGATGATCATAAATTAGTGTGAGGAATGAAAATAAGAATTTGAAGCTAGAAGTTAGGTTTGTAAATAACAGTTAGGATTTGCATGATGAACAAACGTCAGCTATAATGCGAAAACGCCTTTTAGCCAAGACTTGCTATCTTTAATTTCATTAGCTCATCCATCAACTACAGTCTCACTAAGATGTGTTGTTTCTAGTAGGACATATATGACGAAGTGAAGTAGAAAGGCTGACAGTGGAAAACATAGGCGAAGTCGTACTGCTGACTGTAGAGGGCTGTGAGAGCAGTAAGGAGTTTCCCTCGGACAACTAGAATCTGCGGGGATGCTGCCTTTTCACAAGGAAGAAAGTGGTTAGAAAAGGTCGACCCTAAAAATGTCACACCTCACCTTACCTCACAGGTTTCCGTCTCCGGCGGTAAGCCCCTTTAAAGAACGGAGCTAACACGTCGAAAACCTCTCACAAAAAGGCCTTGCGCGACCGGCCTCAAGCAGTTGTCCCTTGGGCTCTGCGGTCACGCTCCCAGGTCGTCGAGACCAACACTAATCCGCTTTCCTTTTCAGGTTCCTCAAGAAATACCCTTCCACGGTGTGGGCAGTCGGGGAGTGGTATCAGCCCACATACTCGTAACAGCGCACGAGACCGAGTTGGTCACATTCAAATCTTCCCTACACATCCTAATAACTCTCTTATTTCTACGAATAACCCTCCTCACGTCCCTTTATCACCTCGCACCGCTAGGGCAAACGATTCGAGTACGCGGAACGTTATTCCTGGTCTCCTGAAACCACGCTCTAAACTACACTTAGGAGCTTTTAACGTCGTCTCTGCCTATTCTCCCACTGACTGCAGCGCAGATGATGTAAAAGATGAGTTTTACAGAAAGCTCTCCGACCTCCTCCTAAAAGCTAGGCGCTCGGATGTAGTAATAATGGCTGGTGACTTTAATGCTCAAGTAGGTAAACTAAGCGATAGGGAAAGACACCTAGGTGGATCTTATAGTGTCGTGGCTCAAAGAACAGATAATGGCGAACGTCTGTTGCAGCTATGCTCAGATAATCGCCTGTTCCTTGCAAATACTAACTTTAGGCATAAGGAAAAACATCTTTTAACATGGAGACCCCTAATTCGTCCCAACGTTGGACCCAAATAGATCACATCGCTATCAGCCACCGATGGAGGGGCTCGATAGAAAACTGTCGCTCATTCTGAAGCACATACTTAAATTCAGATCATGCTCTAGTACGAGCGCGTATCTGTCTGCGTCATACTGGACGTAGGAAAGACGCTGCAAGTAAACCTCTTAGGGCCCTACTTAATAATAGTCAAACTAAGAGTATATTTCAGGAACAACTAGGAAGACAGTTAGGCAGTCATGTATGTGATGTCCACCCCGAGGCAGCATGGAATGATATCCGAAAAGCTGTGGAAACAGCAGTGATATCTGCTAGTAAGGTAAACCATTAGATTAGGGAGAAATACTGGATCTCAGCAGCATCTGCCTCACCGATAGATGCTCGGAAACTCATTCCACCTGGCTCTGAACGTAATGAAGAGCGGAGTCAGCTTAAGCGCAAGCTGACAAGAAGTCTACGCAATGATCGTGAACAGTGGTGGGTAGCGAAAGCAAGAGAGATGGAAAAGGCAGCGGCAATAGGTAATAGCAGACAATTGTTCAGACTTGTTAAGGAAACCGGTATTAGGAAACCGACTGTCAGTGAAACGATCTCAGAGAAAGATGGACATATTATACATTCTCAATCCAGGAGATTAGATCGATGGGCAGAACACTTCAGGGATCAGTTCAACTGGCCTTCAGCCACACTTCGGTTTCCCACGATCTCCAGTCAACCTGAATGGCAAGTTAATGTAGGTCCTCCGTCTCTTTACGAAGTTGAAAAAGCCATAGGAAATCTGAAGCGAGGGAGAGCAGCAGGCCCTGACAGGTTTACTCCTGAGATTTTTAAGGATGGTGGTCCAGTATTAGCAGTGAGATTAACTGAGGTCTTAGGTAGAATTTGGGAACTGGACGTAATCCCATCTGACTGGTCTCAATCACTGATTGTGCCAGTTTTTAAGAAAGGACAAAAGTCCTCTTGTGACAATCACAGAGGAATCAGTTTGACTAATATAGTGTCTAAAATATTAGCTTCAATAATACTTCGACGCCTAACCAAAGCTCGTGAAGAGCAGACTAGAGAAAATCAGGCTGCTTTTCGACCTGAACGTGGTCGTATAGACCAGATATTCACACTAAGTCAGCTCCTAGAACATAGACACACAATTGTAGTATTTCTCGACCTTAAGGCGGTATTTGACTCTGATGATCGTGAGGTACTGTGGCAGTGTTTGTCACTGAAAGGAGTACCAAAGAAGTACATTAACCTTGTAAAGGCTCTCTACTCGAACACAACTGGTCGAGTGGGAGCTTATGGCGAACTGTCATCAGAATTGATTACCTCAAGTGGTGTTGGTCAGTGCTGTCCACTCTTTCTATTCTTGTTTAACGTGCTTTTAGAGATGACACTTTCCTCATCTGAATTTCCAGGAGTTGAACTTCTACCAGGAGACTCACTTGTTGACTTAGAATATGCTGATGACATAGTTCTATTTGGTAGACGCTGACAAAATACAGAGTCTTCTGACCACTCTAAGCAACAATGCAAGCATGTCCGGCATGCGATTCTTCCCCTCGAAATGCAAAATGTTGCTTCAGGATTGGGTTGCATTGACACCCGAACTAATGATAGAGAGTGAAGTAGTTGAGTGTGTCGACCGCTTCATTTATCTTGGAAGTCTAATCAGCCCTTGCAGTCTGGTGTGTGACAAAATCTCAGCACGAATACAGAAGGCTCGACTAGCTTTTGCCAACTTGCATCATTTACGGAATAGGAGAGATATCACCCTATCAACCGAAGGACGGGTTTACTGCGCAGCAGTTCGTTCCCTCCTACTTTATGGCAGTGAAACATGGCCGGTAAGAGTAGAGAATATTTGTAGGTCACTAGTATTTGATCATAGGTGTCTTCGAGACATTGCTCGTATATCCTGGGACCATCGAGTAAGTAACACAGTTGTTAGGAAACGGGTACTAGGTAAGGATGGCAAACCAATTGATGAAGTAGTGAAACTTCATTAGTTGAGATGGCTGGGACGTGTTACGTATGTCCAACCACCAACTGCCTCGACGTGCGGTGTTCCACTATTATAGGAGTAAGTTGTAAGAAAGCTATGAGCGTCCAGACCAAAACATGGCACAAATCCATGAAGTCACTGACAAGTGAACTGAGTCATGTTGGTAGTTGTAGACTACCTGGTTGGGATCCGCGAGATGATAGCAACCGATAGTTAGAGACCCTGAATGACATGGCTCAAAATCGTTTGCAATGGCGCAGGTGCATCCACTCTTTGTGTTCTCCCAAATTCTAATCTTCTGTATTCTTCATGTCCCTTATTTTTGCTCTTTTTAAATTTATTTCACAGGATTACACTCCTTGAATA